ACATTTTATTGAGAATAAATTCTCTAGAGGAGGTTTAGTTAAACCAAGCAAAAGTGTTTTGGTATGCGAAGGAACAGAAAGATGTTTCCAAAGGTTTCTTACATCAACAAATATTACCCTCCCTAATGATATAGGAATTAAAAATGCAAATGCAAGTGTTGTTTTGAGATCAGTTGATATATCAAAAGTATTCACAGAACTAACTCATCATATGCTAGATTCGTCTTTAACTGATAAGCATTTATTCTCACTGATTAAAGTTATTTCAAAAAATTACTGAAAAATACACTTTCATCACCAATGCAAAGAAGTAACTAACAAATTGACTGGAAAAAAGTTTAGGAAGCAGTTGATTAAATTTGTCTTATTCAAAAATCAATGAAAACATTTGTTTTTAGTAAACCATTTTAGTGCACAGATATGGTAAGTACAAATTTTGGTCAAATTGAGATAAGTACGCAGAAAAACCTGTTTTTATTTATAGTTTATTGTGAATAAATATGGTATGTGTAGGATAAACGATAAAGAGTCTAATAATTGACAATATGTGGTAAATACAAAAACTCTTCTTATTATAATTACGCGCACAAATGACAGTTTCTACAGTTTTAATCTTGCACTTACCACATCTGTGCACTATGTCATCGATATATACACAGTAAACTCCTGATAACTCAAACCTTTAAAAAATTGAACTTCCAGTATTTCCTCGGACACTTAAAGGTTACGACTTATCAGAAGTTATATATGCATATATATAATATACATACAAACATTTATATATATATATATATAAATATATATATATATATATATATATATATATATATATATATATATATATATATATATATATATATATATATATATATATATATATATATATATATATATATATATAGTAGAAAATAAAACGAATTTCATGCAAATTTTACAACATTACAACATTAAGTTTCATGCTGATGCAATCATCAGGTGAAATAAAAATGAAAAGTATTTCACCTGATGATTGCAACACATAGTTTTATTATTTTCTATATTATAGCTCTGTTCATTAAACACCTTGATGGTATATCCACAAAACATATTTATATATATATATATATATATATATATATATATATATATATATATATATATATATATATATATATATATATATATATATATATATATATATATATATATATATATATATATATATATATATATATATATATATATATATATATATATATATATATATACTCACTTAAATGTACTAGGTGAGTATATTTATGTGTGTGTATATAGTTAGTATATTTATTTGTATTAAAAAAAAAATCTATTAAAATTAAACTAAAATAATTAATGATAACAAACTCTAGAAGGAACCTCTGAGTTGTGTGTACTCACAGAGCTCAGCTAATAGTTCATGCAGCATATATACATTACAAGTATCTGTTTAAAACAATTTTTTTCAAGACTGATTCATATTAAACAGATACTAAGCTGCCTATCATGCAGTTGTGTTATTAACCTTCTAGCACACAGCATAAGATAATTAAGAACTAAAAGGTACATAAATTAGTTATTAAATTTTTTTGAAGGATTTTATTTATCTTATAATAAAATAAATTTATACATATTTATAAAAAATATATATATATTGCATAATATGAATATGTATAAATATATTATATATATATATATATTATATATATATATATATATATATATATATATATATATATATATATATATATATATATATATATATATATATATATATATATACCTACTTTTATTTTTAAAAATTGTTTTTTTTTAAAAAAAAAACCTTATTTGTGTTTAAAATTTTATCTTTATCGATTACGCTTAAGGTTTTTTGATTTTTTAAACGGTACTTCTATAACCGTTGGAAAACTACGCCGCCATCTTGGTAGGCCAAAACTGGCTTCAAAAATTTTTCCGAATGCGCTATCCAGTTATTATTTTGAGATCAGTGCAGTTAGACATCTAGTTATTCTTAATATATCGTTGAACAAGGCTTGGTCAGGAAGGCGTGCGATCGCACGCCATTATATGACTACGCAAATAATAATTTATTTTGACGATTTGACCACGGTTTTTAAACATTTTAAAAATGCGCTGAAAAAAATTATTTTTAATTACGTCAAAAATAAATAACATTGAAACTTTTATCTTCAATAACGTTTTTATAATAGTGAAATGATTTTAAATAAAGTAACAGTTAACGTTTTAATTTAAAGTGTAGATGAAAGTTGTATAAATTTTTATTTATATTATTTAAATATACATAAGATTATATAATTAATAAATAAAAGAATATATAAGATTTTTTTATAATTAATCTTATCTGTTTTTTATTTATTTAAATTTTATAAGCAACGACTTTAAACAACGATCGTCTTTTTTATAAACTTTATTTAAGAATCATTTAAGTTAATACACTCAAAAAAATTTTGTTGAGAAGAAAAAAAGACAAACTTTCGAATTAAAGACAGCCGTTAGAATTGAATAACTTTGATCTTTACTAATGATTTTATATTATTAAAACCTTTTTAAATAATGTAACAATTCACTGCTAATGATTTTTTTACATAAAGTATTAACTGGCTGTCCATTAATTACGTCAACAATTTTTTTGAAGTTTTAACTTTTCCCCCTTCCCCTTGTAAACAATTTGTCAAATTTCCAGAGACCCCCTATAAAATTACGTTAATTTTTGATTACCTTCCCCCACCCCTATATAAAAAAGCGATGCTACAAACTCAGCCTTCTTTTCTGTTATTTAAGCAATAAAACTGAAAAAAATTGTTGACATCAACTTTAATTGACCTTTACCTCCCCATTGTCAACAATTGTCAAAAAAGTTTAGACCCCCTCCCCCTTTTTTGTTGATGTTATTAATGACCCCTAATGTATTTTTCTTTAGTCCTTAAGTAAAAAGATTATATAATAATTAAAAAATTATTATATTTATTATAATTATTATAATTAAATATATATATATATATATATATATATATATATATATATATATATATATATATATATATATATATATATATATATATATAATATATATATATACATATATATATATATATATATATATATATATATATATATATATATATATATATATATATATATATATATATATATATATATATATATATATATATATATATATATATAATTTTTTACAATAAATTTTTTTTCTATAGTCTTTAAATAAAAAAAATTATCAATTAAAGTTAAAAAATTAAATTATTAGCAAATTAAATTAAATTATCAACTAAAAGAATAGTTTTGTTCATTATTTTTCGTTGTCATCTTCATTTTTCCTCATTTGCTTTCTGACAAAAGAAACAGTTTAATTATTTTTCTTTTGTTTACATTACTACGAAGAATTGTAAATTTTTTGTTATCTTTTAAATGTACGTAATTATTGAAAAATCGTTGGAAGTTGTTACTTTATATAAAGTAACAACCTCCAACGATTTTCTTATGGCCTCATATAGACTAAGCGAAACCCATTTAAATAATTATTTAAAAAGGTTTCGCTGAGGCCATGAGAACAAAAGTGGTGTAAGTAACATGTTAAAACAAAGAGAAATTAGTAAAAATAAAATTCCTTACTTTTTTAATTGAATTATCTCAATTGTTTTTGAATTCATAGCAGCTTTTGAGTTTTAACCATCTATTGAGGCCTTTCTTTAAATTTTTTATAAAGTTACGTTACGCGAAAAAAACACATTTTGTAAGTTTGTGGGATACACCACTTTTGTTTTCATGGCCTCATATAATAAAAAACAACATTTTATTTGTGTTCGTAAGTCAGTCGTCATTTTTGTGAAACGCGCCCTCCCTGCCAAAAAAAAATTAATAATTAAATTTTTTTTTTAAAGTTAACATCTTAGATAAGTTTTTAATTAAGTTAAAACATCTGTTATATGTAAACTTTATTATATAAGGATAAGTTTACATACTATAACAGATGTTTTAACTTAAGTACTCTCGAGTTCCTAATAAACGTCCCGCCCCGTTTATTAATTTTTGGATATTTTTCCCACACATCCTAAGCTTATTAAGACCCCCCCCTTGTTTATTAATTTTTACTTGTTATCAACAAAAAAATTATATATCTTAAAAGTAAAAAAAAAGCAAGGACAAAACACTTGTGAAACAGAGCCGCTAGATGAATGATATGAATTATTTGATTGTGATAAGAAATTGTGATAAGAAAAGATACTGTTTTCATTGATGAATTAGGAAAACTTTTATGTAATGCAGAAACATCTACCCAATTTATTCTACGTCTTAAAAGATTGAAACGGAGCTATATAACATCTCGCCGTGCCATAAAAAGCTATATAACATCTCGCCGTGCCATAAAGCCGTATTGAAAACAACTTTGAAGCCTCTGACAACGAACAGTTAGAAAATGAAGTGGAACACTGCAATGAAAAATGATTCAATCAGAAACGCTTTTGAGGATCTATTTAAATAAAAAGATCATTTTTATATATTTTATTTAAAGTTAATAAATATTGATAATTAAACCTTTTTTTAAAGTCGTTCATTTTCTTTTGGTAAATTATTTTTGTACGTTACGGGTATTACATTCTCTCTCTGTTTACTAGACTAAAAGAGGTTCCTTTTTTTTAAACAAAAAAACCTGCACATTTATTTTGCAGATAAAATCCTCCTCCTACTATAAATTCACCCCCCCCCCCCCCGTTTATTAGATTTTGACTAAAATTCCCACCCATCCGTTTATTTCCACCCCCCGTTGTATTCGGCACTCGAGAGTAATTAAAAAAAGTTTCCTCATTAAGTTTAATCGTTTTTTTTAATGCGCGATGATGTTTTTTATAAAACAAAAGTGTTTATTTACATTTTTTTGTCAATTAGTACTATTTATTTTTTGTTTTTTTACTATTAATATTAACTATTTTTTTATTTTTTAACTATTAACATAATTTTATAAGGTGCGGTAACAAAACAGACGGGACACTACTAGTTTTAATTTATAAAAACATTAGTAAAAGTTCAAAGTTATTCATTTCAAACGTAATTATAAAGGTAATTTGAATAGTCTTATTGTTTATTATTTATTTTAGTTAAGTTTTGTTTTTGTTTTTATTTTTATTTTTGTTTTAGTTATTTGTTACCAAGCTATTTTTATTTTATTTAAAGATTTTTTTTTAAGATAAGTTTTTCAGCGCTTTATTAAAATGTTAAAACTGTGGTCAAATCGTCAAAACAAAATATTATTTGCGTGGTCATGTAAAGCCGTGAAATCGCATGCCTTCCTGACCAAGTCTGTTGCTCTACACACATCAAGAATATAGATCGCCGTCGACATGAAGTGCTAATCAACCAATTTCTTTGCAAAGAACTTAGCTTTTGATTTCTGTGCTGCGCTATAGTCATTTTCCAAGCTGATAGTGTTCTAACAAAGCTGAAACGTTTAGAGAAACAGAAAAAGAATTTGCACTTCTTACACAAATTATTGAAAAGTCAAGCAACAATAGTAAAATATTTATTGTTGGCGATTTTAAAATGGATTTATACAGGAATAACAAGCATGACAATTTACTGAAATAACTATTAAAGAAGCAAAATTTAATTGCTATTGACCACTTATATCTTCAAAAAACTGATTTTACCTTCAAAGATTCAATAGGGCAATCATCATGGATTGACCATGCCTTAATAAATGTAAAAGCACAAGACATAATCGTTCAATGTACAATCCTCGAAAGCAGGGTTGGAAAAAACCCAGGTTTTTTTAAAAAACCCCAACCAAATGGTTTTTTTTGGGGGTTTTATTGGGTCTTTTTGGGTTTTATGGGTTTTTTGAGTTTTTTTAAAAACCGATCAAAATACCAAATTTTTATAATTGTATGAGTACAATAATTTTTTTTTTTTAATTTCATAAATTCACCCCCCTGTTGCACCAATGGCCACTTCAGTCAAGGGAGCAACTCATTTTTTAAAAATATTTTGTCTCAATCCTTAACATTACCATTTTTACTAACAAACAACTTTAGCAACTAAAGTTTTTAAACAAAGGCGCTGTGCAGAGAAATAGATTGAGCACAGTAATTTCACCAGAGATAATAGCGACTTTACGAAATCAAAACGTCAATTGCAACCGCAACCTCTGAAGACAAGTTGATAATGCACAGTGGGAAATTAGATGGCCAAAAATCAGAAAAGTGACTTGGTTCAATCATTAAGTCTGATAGTGGGTTTTGTTACTAATACAATCACTAAGAATTCCAATTTATGAATTTCTAAATGTGGCAGGCTCAATTGTAATGGCTTCTTGAAGTTTTTTTATTTTATTTTAATTCACCTCCTCAAGGCCGAGAAGGCCACTACAGACGAGGAGGCTACTTATTTGTGGTTATAACCCTCTCTCAACTCTATAACTCCGAAACACGAACCTTGACGAACAAGGCCGCTGCGCGGAGAAACAAGTTGAGCGCGGTACTACCAGGGACGTGGTGGGGATCGTACTCGGAACCACTCGTTTATGAAGCGAGCGCTCTACCACTACACCGCTACCGCATTTTGAAATAATTGTTTTTTTAATGAATTTTCGATAAAATTCTCAAATTGCTGGATTATAGTAATTATTGTTTTTTTAATATATAGATCATTGAAGAATTGAGAATATATACATCATTGGAAAGATTATAGTATAGACTGTTAAAAATAAAAAATTTCTTGAAAAAGTAGTAAAACTTTTAGCATTAAAAGTAAAAAATTCATCACAAAAGTAATTTTTATCTTTGATAAAGAATTAAAAAATTGTTCCAATTTGTACCTTTTCCATATTTTGATATTTTTTAGTCTATAGTATCTACTAACTACCCTGAGAAGCGTAGCTGCGATCATCCGCGATCTTTAGCGCTAAATAATTTTGAAAAATTGATGTTTTTTTAAACAAATAAAAAACTTCGATAAAAATAATTTTTTTCATTCATTACAAAAAGTAAAAAACATACAAACTACTTTAAAGCATGAAAGACCAAAATAAATTTGTTTTCGTGTTGTTACTGAAAGAAAATTTTTTTATTTTAACTTCATGAGTTTATGGTTTTAAAATGCATAACTAATTTAAGAAAAAATAATTCTAAAGTGCATTTTTAATGTCCCACTAATCGACCAAAACCACATGAATTTCTAAATGATGTTAAAAAGTTTCTTTTTACTTTGTAAGTTTATTGTTGTGAACTAAGATAATGGAGGAAATCAATTTAATACAAATTGTGCAATGTTTTCAGGTTTCGGTAAATACTTTTGAAAATGTAAATAGTATGTTTAAATACATTACTAGAATTCAAGTTAGAGAATACAAAATAAATACAATAGCGAGAGAAAACGACGTCTGAAGAAGCTTTTGTATATTTCTTGCATAACAAACCTTCAGGAAGTTTTCTGAAAATACCCATAAAGATGCAGGTTTCCATCTTATCGACTAATTTTTGAAATAAAAAACGAGTGCTCACGCCTTAAAACATCCATTAAAGTTACTGAAATAAAGACCAAAGTTAAACTACAGGATCTTATGGATCATACATCCAAAAGGCTTGTGAAACTACGGGAGAAGAAAATTTTAAAAGTTTTGATGATAAAAAGAAAGACTGATGAATTAATACTAATTAGTTATCAGGGTATGGACGAAACATCAAGTCACTGAAAGTACTATTAGCGTTTTAATAATTCCAATCAAAATAACCTTCAAGATTCGGATCTATTAGTCGCAGTAACATCACCTCTTCGAATACATGTACAATCAGATTTAAACAATCTTTTATGGAATAACATAATGTCTCAAAGTATTAGATTCTGTAGACCAATTATAATGGAGTATGTAAATGAGAATAAAGAAGTGGTATTAAAAATTAAGGAAGAAATTGAAAAAGAAACTCTTAATTTATATCCTGATAAAGTTTACCTTTCAGGACATAAGTATGTTTTTATCAACTAAAGTCTTATCCTTTCAATTGATGGAAAAATCTTAGTTACATCACGGAGACTTCTTCGACACAATGTTGTCCGATTTGTCACGCCACACCTAACATGATGAGCGACCTAAAAAAAGGTTTGTTACAAATAGGCAGGCATTGTGCTATGGCATTTGACCACTACATGCTTGTATTAGGTTTTTTGAGTTTACTCATATTTCATATAGACTTGAAAAAAACTTGGAAAGTAGAAAAGGTTTTCAAAAAATCAATATTTTTTGAGAGAAAAAATTATACATGATAGGATGTTTGAAAAATTTGGTTTGAGAGTTGATAAACCAAAAGCTGGTGGATCAGCTAGTGGAACTAGTAATACCGGAAATTTATGCACATGAGCTTTTTCTGATCCTCTATTACTCAGCAAAATTTTAGAAATGAATGAAGAAATTATCAGATTACATAACATTCTAATTGCAAATAATTGCAAAGACCCAAATGATCCGGAAAAAATTGATAAATACTGCAATGATACATATAAGAAGTTATTAAAGATATATGATTGGTTCAAGTTCCCAGCTTCCATTCAAAAAGTATAAGCTCATGCTAGGGAAATTATTATTAATTTACCTGTTCCACTTGATTTAATGGGAGAGGAAGCAGTTGAATCTCGATACAGGATTTATAAATTTGATCGTGAACATCATGCAAGAAAAAAAAGTAGAGAAACAAACTTACTTGACATTTTCATTCTAGGTATACATACTTCCGATCCCCTAATTAGTTCAATCTCATTAACTAAAAGATTGAAAAGTAAGAAAATATTGTGCCTAACGGAAAAAGTTAAAAGTTTGTTAGCAGTTTATAGCGATGATAAAGAAAAAGATTTATCTGAATTTGATGAAATTAATAACTTAGGTGAATTATGTTTAAATATTGATAACGTTGACAAAAATCTAGAATTAGATATAGAGGTAGAAGAATAAAGTTCTAAACTGTATCATCTGTATAATGTATAACTTTATATTTATTTGTCTACTATATAAATTTATTAAGTATTTAATAAAATATTTAAAAAATTGCAAGGACTCAGTTCAAATTATTAGAGTTTGGACACAAGATTATCCCAAAAGTTTATTTATTTGTTTGTTTTTTTATTATTAGTTTTATTATTATTTGTTATTAATTGAAAATTAAAATAACAGACTTTAATTCTCATTATTTAATCTGTTAAAATTCGAAAGATATAACTGTAGTAACTATAATAAAGTTTTCACCATCCCCAAAATGAGGGGCTTGTAAACTTTATATGATCATAACTTTCAGAAAATAAAAGATTATCCAATGAAAACAAAAACCTGTCAATAAATTGAGTTTAGTATAAGATAGCATCAAAAATCTGTTTTTAGACTCATTGCCCTCATATTTGGGGTGGAGCGGGGCTAACTTTTTTGGGTATTTTTGATCCCGGGCTTGAATCACCGCAATTTTTTTTGCAAATCAATATATTTTGAATCAACTATAAACATTTGGTGCATTGAAAAATTATCCATTATTTAAATAATGTCCAAAAGTATTAAATATAAAAAAATCCAACTGGTGCCCCAGTGCTTAAGTAAATTCCCCTCCCCCCCTGCTGCGCCTATTAGCTGGTTAAACATTAAAATTAAAAAAATTTTATTAAGTCTCTATTTTACCCATTTAAGGCTTAATATCCACATAAATACAACGATTATATTTTTGGCCACCTATTTCAATGGAATGTTCCCACTGTGCGGTGTAGCGGTAAATTAAGACTCCAGGAAAATAGGACTTTGAAGTCTTGATTTCCCGGGAAATCAAGACTTTGAAGGAAAATTTGACGGGAAAGTTTGATGTTATAAGTCATAATTTACCGGGAAATTATGATTGGAGCGGTAAATTAAGACTCCAAGAACTTGCGATTCAAAAAGAAAATTTACAAAGAAGTCGTTCTATTCTGCAGTAAAAAAATTTTTTTTTAAAAAAAACTGTAAATAGAATTTAGAATAGAATCAAAGTTGATTCGAACGCAAAAGCATGTTTAAATAATGCACTATAATTGTTTCATACGTAAAGAAATAAATA